GCTCCTAATAATTTTTCTTTTATATAAATAACGGAGATACTGTAATTACCTTGTTACTGAGTTGCTTTGATATCATTCCAACTCCGTCTGTAAACGTGTATTTATTATCACTACTGATTATATCATCTACATATTTTACTAAATCGGCTTTGATCTACACGGAAAAAAATAAGCGTGAAATTGAAAGTCGTAGAAAAAAAAGCATAGACTTTAGAATCTATGAAAAAAGCGTGAATTTTAAGTTGCAAAGAAAAAAACTTAAGATAGAATACGTCATTGTCATAATCGTGGAGAATACCTGTAGAAGTGAAAATGTTGACATAAACCCGTGAACAAAACAACCGTAAGAATCAACGTAGAAATTGATATGTATACAAACAAATACGAGAGAAAAATCGATGAGTATAGAAGTCATTTACCTCTTTTACTTTTGTCAGCATCATTCATATATGAATAGCATTAGCTTCAATACAAATTGAAAAGTTTTTCGCTTTCTTTTAGAAATAGTTAGTAGTTGATACTGAAGCTCAATATCATTGTCCACGACGCATCCATAGTGACTGTATGGTTTCATGTGATAGAGTTAAATAAGTTTTGGTGATTAATTAGTCGAATTAAATAAGTTTGAACGGTTAAACGTGTGCACATTCTTTTATGTGAAGAAAAGCATCTACTAAAAATCTGTTTACAAAACAGCATGAACGAAGACTATGAAAAACACACATTGAAGAAAAAGTGATGGAATTTCTTTTTTTTTCGTGTATAAAAGCATCAGGTGTTTATTATGTTTTAATTAAATATTTTTATAATACTCACTTGGATTGTTGGCTGTGTACTCGAAAAACATTGTGCCATTCTGGCTGCATATTTTGCTACAACTCTTTCATTGGCAAAGTTTCCCATCCAACGATACGCTTCCTCAAATGTGAAGCAACCAGGCATTTCACAGTAGTAATAGAATTGTTTAAATCGAACTTGTGATTGTGCGTGATGTAGGTAACAATACGATCTGCCGCCGATGATAAATCCAGTTGTCAAATACTGTTTGAAATGTTGACGAAGAGCGACAAAATCTCGTGCTTGAAGTTGATTACCATTATCGTCGCGGAACTCGACAAAGATAAAATTATTCAAATTTCCAAATTGTGGTTCTCGTAGCACTCGATTTGACTTAGAAAGTTTAAAAGGTTTTACAATCGGATCCGTACTGGATGTTAAAGTGACGCACGGAATAAATACTTCGTTTTTCAAGGTAATTGGGAATTGACTCATCAAGCTTGTCTTATAAAAGGAGTAATAATGCTTCAATATATCAATAAATTCCGCGTAGAAATCAATAAAATAATGTTTTAAGGCTCGATAGTATAATCGTGAACACATATAATACATGATATCATCTTGTTCCTCTTTATCGATCAATGACATTCCAGACAAGAAGATTTGTTTAAAATTTTCATTTGTGTTTAACTTTTCTTGAACACGACATCCCATACTCGTTAATATGGACCAGGAATAATTTTGAATATACGTTGGAAACTGTAGTTCAAAAAATGGTTTTTTATAAATTACATCGTCTTTATCAAACATGACTGAGCCGAAGTAGATGGTGATATTATTTTGTTGAAAAAAACTAATAAATTTTCTAAATGCAAGTTCAATATTCGTCTTCCTTTCATACATATTATTCATTATTTCTCTATCAATACATAAAACAACTCGTATAGCGGAAAATAATGGTTGAGGTTCATCATAACAAACCCGGTTGTACTCGTGAAATCCTAAATAGAGAGAAAACAAAAATCGTTTTATTAATTTTGAAGTTAATCAGAAATGTACAAAAAGGTTTGCTCGATCTGAGTCAATATTTACCTGGTATCCCACCGACAGTTTGTAAAAAGAGAGGAAAAAAGAGGATTCGTAGTTTAAAAAAAAGAGGAAAAGAGGAATTCAGTTTTTTCCAGAGAAAAATGCTAACAAATATTGTAGAAGCATGTAACGGTGGTATATCTATGATCTGCGTTCAATGGCGACTCGAAACAGCGAAAAATGAAATTCAGTATTGTTCACATATATTTTGCCTCGATCATAATATGCGCACTGCAAAATGAGAAAACAACAGAAATTTCGTTCATCTATTGTTTTTTTCGTCTAGTTGTGATCACTATTATTCTATATTAAAGATTGCATCATCTTTAGCTATCTCTGTCTATTTTTCTTTTTTATATTACATGTCTTTGTTCTTTTGGATATGTATATGAAAGCATACATTCAGAGATAGTCAGTTCGAGTGCATATAGAATACAGAGTTAGTAAGTGGTCGGACCAGTTAGTGTTCTCCTTGCTTCATGTTATTCCAACATATGTATTTTTACCATTATTTTTTTTAAATACACTACATAAATTGGATTGGCACTTTGTTTAATCTAGGGTACTGAGAGAGTTTCTAGTCTCCCTTGATTGAAGAACCCGAGCTTAACGACTGACAGAAGTCAAGAGTAAAAGTAAAATGACGTTGAACGATGTCAAATTAAGAATTGGAGAAGGGAAACGGTGGACAGAAATCATTGGCGGGAAGTAATAAATAGAAATGTACAAATTAGACCCGTAAATTCCAGGATTAAAGACATTGTCTACGGGTTTAGACAACAGGCAGTGAAGCGTAGAAACTATGATCTGCAAGTAGCACATGGAGTGGTTAAACGCAAAGTTATAGAAGTGCTATCCAAAGCTACAAACAACAAGTATAAATGTCCGGGTTGTGGCAAACAATTTAAACCACAAGGAATAACTGGGCACGTTAAAGCATGCGCTAAAAGCTGGTGCAAGAATAACAACATCAAGTGATAAGTCGAAGCAAATACGCTGGTTGTGAACACCTACCGAAAACGAACTCTCGGGGTGAATGATGGGTATTATCTAAACTGGCTTGCCAGACGATAGCATTCGGATGTGTACCGTGATTTTTCCCAAAAGAGACCAAAAAGAGGATTTATAGGAAAAAAAGAGGCGGAGGTGGGAGGTCAGATATTCACACTTGTGATGTGGACGTTCTGCACAAAACTCTGATGAAAAACGTAAAAGGCAAAAATTGGTGTGAGCTACTTTGCGAACTACTTAGCACTTACTACTACCTCTAAATCTAATCTCTGACCAATCTCTATATTCGACATCGACATCAGAAACCGAGTCAAATAACACAGTCATCGCTTAATCTCTGAAACTTTGATATTTTTACCCATATATCAGCACTTGATATCCTCAGGATAATTAAAAAATAAATTTTTCTAAAAAGATTTCGGTCTACCGCTTATTTTCATAAAAAGTTGAGATGATCATAAATTATCAAGGAACAAGGTAAGCGGCTCAAAAGTTCTAGAATACACTGTAATTCAGTTGCTTGGAATGCGAATGTGCTTTAGAGTACAAAAATCACTTTCTTCTGTTTCGAAGTTTAGCGGAAAGCGAAAAGGACAACCAAAGCCATAAAACTTTCGCTTTCCGTTTCTTTATCCTTTACAACCAAAAGTTATTCAAAACACAGATACGAAAGTCTGCAGCTGAAAACAGTATAAGACGCCAGTAATTCAAACTTACAGCACTACTTTTTTTTCGGTCGAAACACACATCACTGGATAGAACGCAATGTGCTGATCAAGAATATGACCGTTTTAGCCTTCCCAGACCGAGTTTTCGTGGAGGAAAGTGTAAAATATCAGGAAGGTGTCGAAGTAGCAAAAATAGTTCCATTTACGAAAAACAGCCTTAAATTTTTTTCATTTTTACTTTTCACTCTCACTATTATTTTCTTCAAATTCTCTGCACTGATCGAACAATCAATGTCTGCACTGCAGAACTAGGCCAAGAACTGTTGCGCGTTGTTACTTTACTGGAAAGTAATGCTAATTTTCTGAATGCTAAATATTATTTTTACCAATAGAAGTAGAGTTCAGTATTACTGTCACGAGTGATGGAATATATGGAATATCTGCAGTACTGGTAACAAGAGCAGTAATGCACCCTCACTAGCAGCATTAATTATTTCGAAAAATAGACTTGATACGAAATGCATAAATTATTAGAGTTACAATTAAACACTTTAATTTTGTAAATTTATTTATATTACAAACGTGTCGACCTCTTTATTGAGACCTTCCACAGTAATAAGAAATTAAAATAAAGTGAAAACTAAATTAAAATTTCTTATTTTTAAGTATATCTTGGTTCTTCTATCCGTGGATAGAGAAAAAATGAATACGCCTTGTGAGAGGAAAGGAAAAAGAAAAGTATGCAGTTAAGAATTTTTATTAACAGTCACTCTACAATTTTACATCTGTTGTAAACAACACGTTAACAGAATTTAAGTATTTTTATTTTTAATTTATTTTATTTTCTTCTCACTGAGGAAGGCCTCAATAAAGAGGTTAAAACGTTTGTTATATAAATAAATTTACTAAATTAAAATATCTGCTTGTAAATCGAACAAAGCATTAGTTATTTGCATATACTGTACAATCTCTATTACAAAAGACTTATCATGCCATTGTTGTTATTAGAAGAAATAATTTCATTGCTTAACAACAAAAATATATTATCTTTCAGAACTTTTTTCTGCGTTCTTTTGAAATTTTCTTTTTTGATTCTTTCTTTTTCTTCCAGTACGAAAGTAAAGGTATATATATATTGACTACGATAAAGTTCGCGTAATTCTTTTGACCTTGAGTAAATTATTTGCAAATAACCTTGTTTTTTTGTTGAAAAAAAGAACTTTATTCCATTATTTTCAACACAAAACAATAATTACATACCTGGTCTCGCTTGAATATATTCGGCTGGATTACCTCTAATACAGATATGTAAAATAAATCCATATTTATGAACATCAATGACGACTCCACGATCAATATGTTGTACAGTAATAACTCGTCTGAATGGTGATCGTTGTAAGTCATCTATTTCAAATTTATTCATATTAAATCTCATTATCCATTTACATGTTTTTTCCTTATAATAGTGTGAAGAATAACACCGAAATTTGTTCATTGATGTTAAAGCACCATAACAAATAGACATAGAATAGCCCGTATCAAATGTCAACTGATTATATCTTGTGTTGTACATATACATCGGGGAATCTTCCATATTCAATACTGAATTATTAAATATCAATAATTTTGTATATAAAATCCATGTACGTTGATATTGTGAAATGAATGCCGATAAATCGAACGTACGAGATGTCTGGTACGTAGTCAGAAAACGCCGTAAACCAAAACTGTCACTACTAATTTCTTTTGAGCGACGTAGTACCGTATCGGACAGGTCACTTGAGTTCTCAACAGCAAATAGTATCGATGCGGTCTCGAACATATAACTGAATGCATGAAAAATGCACGTCATGACTCGTCTCTAAATCCAAAGTCGAAATTTGAGCATGTACATGTGCATATTCGAAACAACGAACAACTTACGCTCGACTGACGTAATGGTGTTTTAGGGGGAAAATACACCGGAAAAGCTAAATGCCATTGAGATTCTTGTTCAATTTTGTACATGTATGGGACACAGGTAAAACTACGGTCTGCGACTAATGTGATTTAGTTATTGGTATTTTGTCATATAATTGCTTCGTTTCAATGGATTAAGCTGGAAAACAAAGAACTTTTTCAGAAATGTTTGATTATGACTACCAGCGCCCACCTCTAAATGTGCGTTGAATCTTTAGGAAACTTATGTTCCAAAGCCGCGGTCGTACAATCAAAATGCTATCTTCAAATCCTACCACAGATGTAACTTTTTGTATTAGAAAATCCTGTCTTCGTACTAACTTATGACAGAAATACAGAAATGTCCTAAAAAATCCGAGCTTAATTGACACTTTAAAAGAGAACGATCGTCGTAAGTAAAGAACTTTATTTAACTCTTTTAATTATAACATTAGACTGGCTCATATTCCGAACAGAGGATCCTGATGCAGCAATAGACTAATCAGAAAATTCTGCGATTTTCTAGCGGGCAATGTAAAAGAAAGCTTTTTCATAGCACTAGTTCGATGAAAAATCAAATGGTTAACATAGTGAGTTTCTTGAAATTTTCGAACGCTATGAGTGCCCATCATGTATACATGAGTGGATCGGACCGGGCGTACCCTCAAGTAACAGTTAGGTTCAACAGTAAGAAGCATACATTGATACAGGTAGAAGTTCTTGTTAATGACAAAATTTACATTATATATCGCAATTCAAAATTGGTCAGTTTTGGTAAACGCTTCTTGCATTTGAATCTCACTACAATCTTCATTGTATTGAAATATGCCATCTATTCCTGTTCATTATTATCTTATAATTTAAACAGTTTCTCACCAAAATCTGTACTTATTTATTATTATAATAAGCCCTCATGTGTTAGGATACTGGAGAGATCCTAAGACGGGTGAAGTCAGCCCGGTAGTGTAATGGTAGTACGTCCGACCGGTAATCGGAAGGTCTGGGGTTCAATTCCTCAGTCGGGCAGTGGTCCTTTTCCGTTCTGTCGTGATATAACATCTCGCTGGGTGATTACGGGGCGTAACAATGCCAGTCATTTCATCTATCTGGATGTGTATCAAGATTCCAATCTCGCATACGGGGTCACGGTATACGAACCTCTTTCTTCGCTCATCATTTGAAGAAATCATGAATTAAAACTAAAGAAAGAACTTGTAAACGTGTACAGAGTACCATTATAATTAGTAAAAAATAAAAAAAGCTAAGCTGGCTAAAATCATCATTTTTATCATAGTAACGTCTTGTTTTCCAATAAAATTTGAGGCACATAAATAATGCATTTATATGACCAGCAGTCCATTCAGACTTGTTGAGATATATGCTTCATAAAAAAATTGTCTTCCCAAGCATTATAGGATACATGTGGAATCAAGGTCTGAAACCAAAACTAACGTGTAGTAGAATCTTCCTATTCACCGCAAATGGGTTTCGATGATGAAGTCGATGCTGGAAGCAGATGTGTTGATTAGAATAGTGTACTCAGCTTAATTTCGAAATTTTTGCTTTTGATATTCTTTATCATCTATACATCCTCTTTGCTCTTTTATTTGCTTCATCAGATCGTCGATCTTAATTTTTTTTCTGTCGATTTTATTTAAATCGAGAAGAATTGGATCGTATAAATCTGATCGTGTTTAAAAAGTTCAGCTGCGCTGAATAGGAAAAAGCTTCACTTATTTGTTAATTGCGATGGTACGCATTGGTGAGTATTAAGTAGAGAAAAATTCATCCTTCGTTTTAAGATCTTTTAAGTCGTGTTCAAAACGTTTCTAAGGTATAAAAAACTGGATTCGCAGATATATTTAAACGCAGAATCGAATGAGCGCACTTAGAAGAGAATCTATTACTTTAAATACTATAGTCTTACACATATAAATCGAATGCGTCTGAAGGAACGCGTTTAAACGCGTCTGAAAATGTTTCGTGTGAAAGTCGGTCTTTCTGAAATGAAACGCGTTTAAACGCAGCCACATTTGGCACGTCTTGACGCGTTAGAGTAAGACGCGTTTAAGCGTCTATTTTATAGGAAAAACATTAGACGCGTTTATTTACCTTTTCCCCCGAGAAACACGTTTAAACGCACAGCTTCACCATGCTATTACTGAATGAGACGCGTCTCTTTTCTTACTCTCTAGAAAGATGCGTCCAGACGCGTCTTATTCAGTCACAAAAAGTTTGTCGCGCCTCGATGCGTCTAAATAAGACGCGTCTCTTTTCTTGGTTGGTTTAGAAGTAAAGAAAGTATGTGCAAATAAAGAAGTTTTAATTTTCAAATCTACTGAAATATTTAGAATATGTTTAATACTGACAAAAAAAGAATCGCAGAAGTACCAGTTTTAAAGAGAAGTTTCTGAGAGACACGTTTTTTCTCGAAATTTCAGGCAGGAGTACTGTAAAACAAAATATTTACTTTCATCCTTTTCCTGCTCTTATTTAGTCTTTCTCACTTCGAAACCTACAGACTGACAAATATAGAGCAAGTACCAAGCCCAGTTAGCTGAGCGGTAAGTACTTTGCTTTGTAATTTCTCTCTCTGTTCTAGGTCGGATGTTCGAATTTCCGTAAGTACATCTTCTATACTTATCTTTCTTTCATATCACTTAAGCTCTTCTCTCCTCCTCTTCGTTTCTAGTAGCTAGTTATAAGACCCTGAACTTCGGTATAAGAATTTTAGTTGAACAAAAACAAACCTTTCTGCATAAAAGAATTAATTTTAAAAAAGCACATTTAGGCGCGTCTAGATAAAACGCGGTCAAACGCGTCAACATCAGACGCGTCTAGATAGCGTCAAATGGTGCATATTTGCACTACCTAGACGCGTCTAGATGAAACGCGTTTAGACGTGCCAGAACAGCGACTAACCCGGCATAAAACCGCGTTTAGACGCGTCTAAATCAAACGCGTCACTATATGATGCATCCAGATAGCGTCAAATGGAGCATATTTGCAGCGATTAAACGCAGAAAAAAACGCGTTTCCGACTGGAAAATATTTACATAGTTTTTTATGTATACTTGGTGTGCTTGTGAATTGTCTCTTCAGAACTTCTTAGCTTTATGCAGGGGCGCCACGATACCGCGAAGGCAGAAGGGGAGGACGAAGTCAATTTCGAATTGAATTTTTATGCTTTTAAAAATTGGAAAAACTAAAAAAAAGGTAAATATTCTAAGCAGTTTTCTTCTAAAGCAAGACTGAATTTCCTTCTCTCTAACTCTATTTACTTCAACACAAAGCCTTATAATATAAAAACACCTTATAAACACTTATAATATAAAAATTCATTTACTGAAGCCATGATACAGTCTATTCTACTTATCTTATCTTATTTATGTACATGACATGAATTTTATTTTCTATCAAACACAGAAGAGAACAACAAATGCTTTACTCTCAAAATGAGAAAAATATCTTACTCCAAAATTGAGAGTAAACGCCTTACCCTGAAAATGGGAATAAACGCTTTACTCCGAAACTGAGAGTAAGCCTTTTATACTCAAAAAAAATGAGAGTAATTGTCTTACTCTGCAAATACGAGTAAACGCTTTACTTCGTGGGATCTTCTCGTAAGTCAAAGGTCTAATTTTCGGAGTAAATTTTTTCAAAAAGCAAGGGAAAGAGATCCCTTCCCTCCTCCCTTATCGGGACACTCCTGGCTCTATCAAGATTACTTAGTTCGACTTTTCCTCCTTGAATAGTTAGTTAATAATCCAAAGGAAATAGCGAACTCTTTCATTAACCTGATAAGGATCTGTTCATACGTACCGTATTTCTAACAATGATTGAAATTCTTTGCATAGCTTAAATCTCACGATCGATTTCAAAAGTGTTTCGTCTACTCAATCTTAGTTCACAATAGTTGAAAATAGCTCAGAAAATGAACTGGTCCGACAAGTCAATGTACGATTGGTTACCAGTTTTACAGCAACATTGTATCTGAAAAAAGGATTTAAGTGTAATGTCACTTTAGAACATGATAAAGACTAGAGAGAAGCTGTTAAATCGATAATGTAACACTTCTATGCACTACCATTGCCAGCGCATAGTGAATCACCTTTTACTCGTATGACTTTTTGAAAAAATGAATTCTCAGCTGTCATGTTTTTTCTTTCTTCAGAAAAAAATTCTAAGCCAAAAACGCATTGGACAGGAAGAACATTATGACACTAGCAATATCTGACTCTAAATTTTTATGAATTCATTGATATGACAAATATGCAGTGAAAAGTTGATTATTTTCACTATCTGCACGTTGATCATAATTTTTATGATTCAGACAAAACTATTTCCTGACGAATTGTTACCCATTCAATAGAGATAAGAATACTTTCTGCGCAAGAAAGGAGTATTTTGATTAGAAATAATGTTACTTCAATCTAAAAATGATGAAAAACTTTTTCCACCACTCTGATCTTTTCACTAAACGATAGCTATTTTCTTCTTACTTAATAACACACAGCTCAACAGCATTTTGGATGTGTCCGTTTACGGATCTTCATCACTTCTTTATCTTATTTTTGATTTTTATGTATTCTTTCGCTTAGCTTAGTTATTGTTTGCCTTTCTTCGTTTTTCTTTTTGTCACTTCCCTTTATTTTGTCTACTTAATTGATACTGTAACAGTACTGAAGTGAGTACGCTGTGCGCTTTGTACTCTTTGCCATTCGCTATACTTTAAAATAAATTGGTTTAAATCAAACGACGGCTCTCCAGCTGTTAGGATAATTAAGGGCCCTAATTAATTAAGGGGGGATAATTAAGGGCCCCCCCTACTTTCAGAATCTGTATCGCAGTCTAATAAGTGATTTTTTGCGGCTTTCGAGAAAG